CTATATATATATATATATGTATATATATATATATGTATATATATATATATAATGACAATACTACTTGTGCCAAACTGCGTATCTGTTTCCACTAGCAGCAAGTGTCCATTCCCGACCACTCGGACACCAAGACCCATCTCCAATCTTCATGCAGACTTTGTCGTCAATTTTTGCAGCATAGAGATCGGAGCGAGCCTCTAAAATCTTGATATTGGAACGACTGTGGATATCTTGGTGGCAACGAATGTTCATCTGCATATTATTAAGATTTAAGAAAAATGGTCTAGAAAAATGATTCACCAAGAATAAGCAGGTGAGCATACCAATTTCATGATTTGATTGTGGTAAGAGTTACCCCAATCGTAAAAGTGATCGTAGAATACGGTTGGTATTCCTGGATGAGTGAGTATATAAACATATCCCTATAAAACAATTTTGGAATTAAAAATCTGTTGCAGTTCAAAAACATAGAAGACAAATAATGACGAAGCTTTCTGCCCCATAGTTACAGAAACATCTTTACTTAGAATGGCTTTAAGTACTGTTACAAACTTACCTCTATTTTTTTTATTCAAAATATTTTTTTTTTATAGAATCATTATCGACCATAATTTTTATGTATTCTACTATGCATATACAAAAAAACCTAAGATTCAAAGATTTCATCATAGCACAACAATGTTTAGAAGAGAGGAGTTAGTTTCCAAAAAAAAAATCGCTACTCTGCCATAAATGGGTATAGTGTCAAATCAAAGACATACCTCAATAACATGATCAGATGGGAAAGGCCAATGACCCTGAAAAATTATATCCCACCATTTAGTAGATACTTAAAATTGATAGATATAATAGAAGTGGCAGAGTCTTATAATTCAAGCATGCTTTAATCTGAAATAAATTTGATAGTACATTAAGAAGCAATTCATCCAACTGATGAAAATTGATATACCTGAGTTGAGCCAGTGTCATGGTTCTCAATAAATGTGACTGCTCGTGAAGGCCACCACCCAATCACACCAGGTGGCTTCCCTTGAGAATCACGCAATCGCCATAGTTGTCCCTTAACTGCTTCCTGTATTTAATCGAACAAATTTTAGCAGCTTTCATAATACTGCTGCCAAGCCAAAGGATAGATTTGTTACAACATGAGAAAAGAAAACTTTTTACAGAAAGCACCTGTAGGATGCCCTTTGTCGTGAAATCAAATGCAGCAGAGACCTGTCCGGTTTTGTCAATCCAGTTAATAATCCTTTGTCTGTGACTGTCTGTACATTTAACAAGGTAAATATATATGTAAATTGTATAATATTCTATAAGCATTGATGTTCTATAGAAAACAACCAGACTTTTTGGCACGCCTACCATCTAAATGGAGGTTGTACCTCTTCTGCAGATGTAAACATTAGTTTAAGTTACACATGGAAAAGGTTACTGTTAGTTTAAGTGATATGATGAATTAATAGTTTAACAAAGCTTATTCAGTTTCCTGAAGTTCCAGAGCGAGACATTATTTACAAAAATATTCATTTTTTATGTAGTGGCCATTGTTTTCATTCATATTGACAACTACTTTGAAGCACAACAGCTCCCAATAGTAACTATGTCATGCCAACCATAGGAGTCCAAGCTGAAGTTATTTTCCACATTAAGAGCAAGATATCAGAATTCTAGGTGTCTCAAAATACTGATTTCCCTAAACTGGCACTACAAGTTAGTTGCAATTAACAGAAGCTAAGTCCTAACTATTCTGAAAACAAACATAGAACAGACCACACAGCACAAGAACTACTTTTAGATTGTTTTCATATACATATTACCAAAAAAATCATAAAACATCAGATCACCATATAATTGAAGGAAGCACATTAACATATAAGGTAAGAATTTACTCATGTGACATTAAAATGAAATGTCTTTTTGAAGGATAATACCTTGATTGTAGTCCAAGCGAGAATCAGGGGCAGAATAATTACAGCTATCCCAATATTCTCCCACAGAAAATACAGGTTTTGACTCTTCAACATATTCTTTTACAAATTTTGGGTCATATCTATGAAGTTCACAAGAGAATATTACTTTAGGAAACATGCAAAAGAGAAGTCTCAGCAGAGTTCACAATAACTTCAAAGAGGACACTCACCCTTTTGCAAAATCAAAACGAAAATCCTGGAAACCAATATCTTTGCGAAGCCACTTTAACCAACCAATTATGTCTTTTCGTACAAAAGCTTGGCTATGATCAATGTTGGGAACTCCATGAAAGTTTTCACCATAGCTTCGCGAACCCTAGAGGCAACGCAGTTAAAAGAAGAAGAAATTGGAAACGATGGTTTTAATATGACCCTTTTTGCATGCTACACAAGTTGATACATTCAAGTACTATCAGTAAGAAGATACATAGAAGAATATATTGTCATACTGGCAGTTCAAGTCCTTCACCACAAATAATAATAATTATGAGAAGCATTAAAATCACCAAGCCATTGCTAACATATTTGTTGAATTAACATATTTGTTAAAACCACCGACTCCAGTTGAATTAACTTGGCTAACATATTTGAACTATTAATATACAAACTTCATATACTATCAAGATGTAACCTTACCAGGCCACCAGAGCATGATGTGATAGCACGTTCATCCCAGGGCATGGGAATTCCATCATAGCGGTTGTATGCTCCCCCACGTCCACGAGCAGTTCCAACTCGATGGTTAATAACTATATCAGCCATTGCTCTGACTTTGTGTTGATGCATTTTTTTAAGTAAACTTATTAATCCATTGTGGGAACCATATGAAGAGTCAAGGCAATACAAGTTTTGTGGCAAATACCCTGTAAAAATGAGGGGGAGAAATTTCATAAGCATAAGCTGAAAATACAAATGAAGAAATATCCATTGATTTACTAACCTTCTTTAGATAATGAATTGGTTGCTGGAGGCAGCCAAGCTGATGTGAAGCCAGATTTAGCAATATCACCAACTTTCCTCTCTAAATTATGCCACCAATCATGTTTGTGTGACTCCCAATTGAAAGCCTGCAAAAACAGATGTTTGTTAAGCATAAACATTAACAGTTCAGCATGAGTTTTAAAATAACAAGAACAATTGCAATGGCATGCATCTGCAAGAATGGTTAAATGCTGCATAGACCCTCAAATGACTTAAGCACTTTTGAGGAAAGAATAAAATTTGATAAAAGAGTTAACTAAGATACAATACACAACAACATGTTATAAAGTTACAGTGACAAATGTGATGTGCTATAGCTTAACTACGAGTCACAATTATAAATTTTCCTTGGAAATGTATGTGATGATACATGTAAAGTGTATACAGTTATACCAGCAAACTCAATGTCTTGTAGTTGGAACTTTAGTTATTACTAAAAGTTATGATATCCTCGTTATGATTTAGTTTTTCCTATTGAGTTACTATTGAACTTGATCAACAAAGAGACAGGCTAACCTATCAATTCTCTTCCTATCGAGTTACTATTGAACTTTATCAGCAAGGAGACAGGCTAACCTATCAATTCTTGCACTGTCTAAATCACATGGTAGTTTTAGATGGATTAGGTGTCAGATTAGTGAAGATTGCTATAAGCAAAAATGAATAAAAGAAGTTTCATAGAGACAAATTTAAGATGCCAGATAAAGATTATCCGGTGAACAAGAGTCTAACCAAAGTGGTTAAAAAATTTTCTGGAACTGACCACCTGAGATTCATGAATGCTATTAATTGTTACTATTCAAGGATATCCAGGATGATCATCATGCTGTTTCCCTTCAGCTCAAAGATCCGGGGTGGTACAATAAAAATATTCATTCTATCATTAGTTTTTTCCTCCATGCCCATCAAATAAAAGAAGTACCGCAGCTTGTGTCTTACCTAAATGTCCTTTAGAAGAATTGAAAATGAATTCTGTCAAAAACAATTTATTATTCATTTGTTGTGTTTTATTTGGTATTATATCAAGTAATTTAAATTAGTCATTCCAATTCCCCCATTCTTAAATGGGTGCATGAACAATTAACTAAAATTCTATACATAAATTTCCTTAGGGATTCTCACACTTCATGGTATTAATGTAGACATTATGGAAATGAAAAAAGAACAAAAAAATAAATCTATCACCTGAAGGAGGATCTCTCTTCCATTTTGTATTGCTCCACCTGAACAATAGAATATAAATTGGGAGGTACTGGATTTAGTAACAAACATAAACCGAAACAGTAGTCTATTGCTACATCATTTTGAGGCCATAATATATATATATATATATATATATATATATATATATATGT